AAAATTGTGCGCCCTTTGTCCCAGTCAGTTTACTCCACGTGCGTTACATAATTCGTGTGATTGTTCACACAGCAATAAAGAACTATAAAAAATGAATGTGTACAAGACATAGACCAAGAAAGGACTACTTATTGCTTACTCTACCTCAGTTAGCGGATGCCATAATCTTATATATAAATGGCATAGAACACATAATTCTTATTCCAAAAACAAAACGTAAATAATATAACTTTCCTCACTGCCACGCACTCACACCAATGTATAAATGAAATAGAAAGAAAGAACTTGTTTACACTCGCTACATTGCATCGCAGTTAACTTATTCCAGTGCATCAATGGCATAATGCACATCACACCTTTTCTAAACAAGGACTAGTGTAAATTAGAATCACTGCATCACATTACAATGTCCAGTGTGTAGATATCATCACCTGTTACCTGTATCAATAAATGTTAGCAATGCATGTCGCATGGTTTGAATTAGTTTGTCCATCATTGAGAAATAACTCACGTTTTACTTGTATGTTTTAGCGTTATCCTGCTAAATTGATTTGCATTTGTTATAATGACAATTGTTCATCTTTGAGAGTTTGCCCACTAGTCTTCCCACGTGATATCGATCATGCAGGTTAGCAGATGTTACCTTGTCAACACCTCCTAAATCGCAGTTTGGAGCATCGTACAATGTGTTCGTGCAAATATCATATATATATATATATATATATATATAGGAATACGTAAGTGTATGATGTGCATATAAGTGGATATAATTGGTGACGTCACAAATCAAAATTGCTGAATGAATGCAGATGTCTGGAGTTAAACGTATCAACGAGGAATGCATGGAATGCAGTTATGTTCTGGCTATTGCGATGTCAGAGTCGTATTCCCGGACAACCGCCTGTATGTTGATCACACAGAAATGGAATATAACCGGCCTCAAATAACCTGGATTCCTCCGTGTGCCTGGGATTTTAAACAGATTGTCTGCAAGCCTTTCTAATTTACGCTGACTGTAATCACTACAGGCGTGTTCTCGAAGCAATAGTTGATAATATACACGATATTTCTACCACACCATATATGTACAGTCATAAACAACACTCGGAGGTTCTGTTGTATCAAGAAAAAAAAACTATTTTAACAAAAAACTTTATGAGGGACAGTTCCCTACTACTGTACTTTTTGTGATTTAAGCTTTAAAACATTTCAGTATTTCAGAATAAACTTATTAAATTATGTTTAAAAACAGATATATGAAAACAGTGTATTGTGTATATTTACAGCAGGCGCAAAATATTTACTTTGACCTCACCTGTTAGGCAACTACCCAGTAACTTTGAGATATATGATGGGCCATAAACTAAGGGGTCAGGCAATTATTATCGATAATAACAAGTTTCAAATAATTCCTACTAGAGATGGGACAGAGATTGATGACCGTCACATTAAGTTAAGCTTTCATTGCAATTACTTCGCTGATTGCAGCTACTTAGCAGACAAAAAATACCAAACTACAAGTTAATCAGACAATTTCCTAGATCCTTCAGTGATCGATGTAACGCCACATGATTACGTACTTGCCTACGTGACAGTTAATCAGAACAACGAATCTTGTTTTCAGGTGGGTTCAACAAAAATAAATAACTCATGCATCCAAACGCTCGTTAATTTAATAAGTTGATTCTATTTTGAACGTTTTACGAAAACCTCGTCGATACAATCGTTGATTGTTTTTAAAACCCGAATTATCTGCATCTGAACATTTTTGTTTTGAATGCAGTTTTTGATTTTGTACTCATCATTTACTAAACATATACATTTATTGCATTAATGTGCGACATTTCCGCCGAACTGGTCGGATACGTTCCAGCAAGAGTAGCGGTCGACTTCAGCTAGCTGTGTCACGTTACTTTTGATAAAACGCGACAAATTCACTGTACTTTGTCACACATCGTTGCACAAACTCGTACATGATGACGTTATTGATGTGGAGTTAAATAGTAGAAGATTGCAAATTGGGAAAGATTGACTGAGTGACGCGTGTTCTGGCAAATAAACTGGCAATGGAACATCCATTATACGACGCCATCCCATACGATCATATGTCAAGGGCATAAAGTGTTTTGATAATCTCTAAATAACTTCTTGGGAAAGTGTCTGGGAATGTTTCGAAACCTCCTCGGTAACTGCCTGCAGCCTTGTGTAATTGGAGGCGCTTTATCACCGTGTACTCTTTTGTATAATTGTAAAATATTGGGATTCCTATTGAACTGGTCCTGTGTTATTGTTGCTCAATATTACTACTATACTTAACCACGATATTTGTGGAAACTGTCCATGATGGTATGATCATGTGATTACGTGTGTATTATATTATGTATTGACTTCCGAAGGTTACTGACGATTGACTTCTGAAAGGTTGCAGAACTTATTGAATGAATTTTAATAATTGATTAAAAGTTGCATGAAAGGTGTGTAAAATTGTACGGACTTATTTTTTGATAACTACCACTCCTACTCGTACTTTCCAAGCGACATTCGATCTTGTAAATGAATTAAAATTTTTCAGAAACGTTTCTAGCCAATTATTGAAATTTGCATATGACATACTTATTTTATGAACCAGACTTTTTTTTTATTTTTAAACCATTTTCAGAAATGGTATACAATTTTTCCATCCAATGCAATGCAGATGACTGGTCCATTCCATCAAACGTTTCAAATAACTTCGCTCCCTTACAAAACCCCTTCTTGAATTTTCAAATTCATTGTTTTCACGAACTAATCCACAGACAACTATCACACCTGCCATAGCAACTTTGCAAACAATTACCTTGTCTTCTCTGACAACATTTCAGGACTTTACTGCTTTGCAAGCAACACTTCCGACGTTGTTGACATCCCGCTATCCTTTTTCGGCCTTGCGGACAATTGGATGTCTTCAAAAACCACGTTTCAAACGCTCCAGACACTATTCTTTTCTTTTCTTCCAAATTAAGTTTGTAAAGTTTTCATACAAATATCTATTTATATCGACTTTGAAGATACTACTCCTGTTTTCTCAAACCGCTTTCCTATTTTACCAAACCACACATAGAACTTTTTCAGACAACTGACCGGACTTTTAAGGGACAGATTTCCCGTCTTTTCAAAATAATTGACAGTAAAAGGGTATGTTTTCCCCAACATTTACAGATAATATGTTTTCATATGAACTTTCCGAACTTTACAACAAATTTCAGTCTTCTCAAACTACTTTTCGGACATACAGCTATTCAAATTCCAAAGCTAGTTTTCAAACTTTAACTTGATTTTGAAAATTTGTTTGAGAAGTCCATGCATATATTCAAGAGTCATGAAGTGTAGGTATATCAATGGCTTTGTCAAGTAATCGCTTTGATGTGGGCAGTGGCTTACATAGGCTGCAGTTACAATTTTGAAGTAATCTACAGGTATGTATAGATTAGGTTTCTTAAGTCTATGATTGGGCACATCTTTCCACCAAATACATGAAGAGGGAGGGAGTCGGACACCACTGTGACCACCACAATATTCGCCAACAAATCTCCTTCTTCCTGAATATGTCAGTAACACTTTCCAGATCTTTCAACATAGTCTGATAGTTGATTAGTTGTGCTGGGAAGCTGTTAGGTGTGCCGCCACAGTAAATGGAAGTGGTTAACCATTCAGATGGCCCACCTTTACCACGATATTTCAACTCCCACGACCAGATTACCAATAATAACGCCGTTGTGGAGATGACTACTGTTTATAGTATAGTATATTTTATTTGACTCAAATTAATGAATTGGAAATACATTAACCATGATCAATAATCATACACAAAAATGAGAATACACCATAATGAAAACACTCCCTGTCTATATATAAACTTGTGTGCATGAGTGACTACTTGCTTTGTTGACAACAAAGTTCTTGTTCAATACTTCATTGAGTGTGTACTTTGATCCATAAACAAAAGAATAAACATGTCAGCTTAAATAAGCCGTATCTTTTCACAATGCTTTTTAACACATTACTTATGAAAGCTACAGCATCTTTGAAAAGCGTATTCATCAGCGCCCTCTAGGAGTTCCGAGTACTGTCATTCAATTTTCTGAATGCGGAATCGGGAATTCTTTCCAGGTAGGTGGAATTAGTTCTGGATTCGACATCTTATAACTAGCTGGTTCGTCAAACATTAAAACAGAGGCTAGGGGTGCTGGGCCCTTCCAGTGACTAATTTGTTAGCACCTGAGGTGCTATTTTAGATGATGGAGTAGTGTCGACTGGAAAGTCAATTTTAAAGGGGTGAAAATTGTTTGAAAAATCCAAAAGCAGCTCTAAATGCAGAATGACCGAAATCTCGTCTGCAAGTTGGAAATGCTACATTAGAAAGAGGTTGTGTCAAAAGTCTAAAACATATAATTAGAGGGAACGAAAACGCGATCAGCAAAGTTGAAGAAGTTTGCGAGATTGGCTGTAACTGTCCGTGAAGTAGTTTCAAAAGAGGGAAAAGTTTTTTTACAAGACTAAAAAGTTGCAGTAAAATTTCTTGGAATGTTGTCTATAAGTAGAAATAAATGCTTTGAAAGATGGGAGAGAACAGAACGTAGTTGTGTTCATTGGCAGAAAAAAAGTTGCTTTGAAAGGTTGACGGGAACAAAACATTCGTCTCCGAGGATAAAATAGTTGATTGGAAGGGGCAAAAATTGCTTGGCAGTTTTGGGAAAAAATAAAAAAGATCTACAGTCCGAAATTGTTTTTTAGGGGGGGGATTTGCATTAGTAGTATTGAACGTTGTTTGGGAAGGTAGAAATATTGCCTGCCAAGTCAGAAACTTTGCTTTGGAAGGCGGAAATGTCAGAAGAGTCGTGATTTCAGACGACAAGAATGTAGATGTTGGCAAAATTGATTTTAAATTCTAGAAAGTGATCTGAAAAGTTATGAAGCATTTTAGATGATTCTGAAGTCATTTGCAAGGTAGATTATGAATGGGAAAAGATTTTGGGAGTCAAAAAGTGGTCTGAGAAGAGGAAAGATCATGTTACAAGACCGAAAATTTGCATCTATTAGACAGTAAATTTGAAAAGTTCAAATAGTATCCTGAAACGGAAATGTTGCCTGAAAGTCACAAAAGTTTTTTTGAAATGCAAAAAAAGTTGACTAAACAATTCTGGAAAATAGTTTGAAGAGAACAGAACATAGTGAGAATACAAGATTCACGTCTGGATAGTCAGAAAAATGGCTTTGGTAAGCAGGAAAATTGTATTAAAAGTTCAAAAATAGTTATAACCACAACGATTCACCTGCACAATAATTATAATTTAATAATTTATAAGATTACTTTGGAAGGTGAAAAAGTTCTTGTTAAAAACTTGTTAAGAAACAACTTTATCGTCGAAACAGTAATTTTCATAGAAAGTAAATTGTCTGGTATGGCTGAGACAATGTACAAGCACTGACATCCTTTGCCAAGGTTATATGGAATGTGAGAATGTGGTTGAAAGTCCAAGACTTATAAATCGATAAAGTAGTTTCCAAGTGCTTTCTGGAATGTCTGTCAAATGTCATCTATGATATCAAAAATGGTGTTTAGAAGTTGGAAAAAGTTACAAGTTTTCAAAAATCATTCTCAGAAATGAGAAAGCTGTCTGAAATGTTCACAAATTTGTGAAGTTGAAACATTTGTTGGAAACGATTAAAACAGTATGTGTACAACAGTAGTAGGTCATATCGAATTAACAGCACACGCAATTGAAATTAGTTAAATGTGAAGGTAATTTTGCTTTGATAAAATAATATTTTTTTATACAGGTTCCAGAGCCATTTGACAAATATTTCTGCTACACAATTATACGATAGTACAGAAATGTGACTTCTCGTCACTAACCAGTAAAAATCAGACGGAATGTTTCCAAGTTCTATTTAAGTACACCTTACCACTTTGAATGCAAAAAATATTGCTGCAACGAATTACAAAACGTAGCGTAACTATTAGAACCTTGCCCACTGAGAATATAGATTAAATAACTGGATGAATGAATATAAACTAATGATATGATGTTAATCGATTAGTATGATTTTTTTCTTTGCATGTTAAATGTGACTATAAAATACCTGACAATGCAATAATATATCTGAGCATTTTGCGTGGAAAAGACTGTCAAAAATGTAGCTGTGAACAAATCTGAACAATGAATAATTATAATTAATATTCATATTCCGTAATTAATATATTCTAGATGTCCTTGTAGAATAAGATAACATGAATTATATGAAAGTTTCAAAATAGAACAAAGTAAAATATGACAAGAAAAATATATTAGCCACATTTGTGAATGTGTTCCTCAATTATTCCTACATGTAATATATCATTTTCAATGTTCTTTATATAATAATATATGAAATTAATCTTATGAAAATTACCAAATAAGGAACATATATGAGCAACATTTGGCAAAAGTTATACAAGCCAGATTTGCTAGGAAAATTACAAATCACGTTTTTGCTTTATACTACATATAATCCAATAAATTTCGACAGGGAGGAGTAATGTCCCCAGAACTGTCTAGTATTTATATGGATAATCTTAGTGTAACACTCAATAGCATGCCATGTGGTTGTCTTATTGGTGGTAAGTTATAAACAATTTGAGCTATGCAGATGATATGTGTGTAATTGTGCCCTCTATTAAAGGTTTGCACAAAATGTTACATATTTGTGAGTTACACGCTGAAGAGCATGACATTACCTACAACTCAAATAAGTCTATGCATTTCTATGGTCGTAATTGCATGAACAATTACCCACCATTGTATTTATATAATAATAATGATGACTTTGTTGACCAGTTTAATTATCTGGAACATAACATAACTTGTGACTTGAAAGACAATGTGAACATAGATTGTCAGAAACATTTGTTCTTTGTTCATACTGTAGCCGTGAAGTCAAACTTTTGTTATTAAAACATTTTGTTCTAGCCTGCATTACTGCCAGTTATTGTGTATGTATAAAAAGTCAACTGTTAATGCCCTTCGGGTCAGTTATAATAAATGCTTTTCATAAACTGTTAGGGTACGCCCATGACTTTAGGGCAGGAACTTTTGTTCGTTCGTACAAATACATTTACCGATTTATATAGAAAGCTAATTTCTGCTTTTCAAGATTTACTACAAACATCAAGCAATACGCTTGTCTGTGCAATACTCAATAGTGATGTAAGATGGAAGCCTGCTTTAGTGAAGCATTGGACGAAGTCTACTGAGTTTAGTCATAGTTTTCAAATCTGTATAGTCTGTAATTTCATCTTTTTACATATTTGTTTGTCACTTTTTTGTATTTATATATGAACTATGTTTGAAATAAAACCATAATAATAAGAAGAATACTGTAAAATACTTTATTTTCGCTCAGAATTAATTTTCGCTACTTTCGAGTGAAAATAAATTCATACAAAACACCTAAAAAGTCTTTTCAGCGAAATTTGATTCCAGCTAAAATAAAGTATTTCAAAATATTGAAAATGATCAAATAAAAATTGAAACCAAAAGAAAAGTTTCAAGTGAATTTTCACCAATATCCTGAAAAATGTACAAATACTGAAATTAAACTTGACCAAGATCCCAAACTAGTTAATGTAATACCAAGTTTGAATAAGATTGGATAAAAACTGTAAAAAAAGTAAATGTAACCACAAAAACGTTTGACAAACGAGTCAATGACAACTACAACAAGGACACAAATGCCCCCCTCCCCCATTTTTATTTGAATGTCGAAAAATTAAATTATCAATTACTAAATTAACCAATTCTAATTATGACAACAGTGATATTATCAGCACTTCCTCTTCTGACAGCTTCATTAGCAATCTTGTTGCATGCCATCTCATACTTGGAGTCTTCTACTGTCTTCAGTTCAGTTCTCTCATGTGACTCACCCTACAAACACAATACAACATGACTTCTACTTAATTATAGCAGAGGGGTTGTCACGTGCGCACGCGCGGGGAATTGAGTCCCAATCGACGATAACAACACATGCTAGAAACGCAAAAGCTCATGGGTAGATGCTTGTTTATAAAAAATGACACACTATGGCCATCTGACGCATGTCCCCCGCTTTAAGATGTTTATGTTTTTCACATAAAAATTTCTAATACATTTTTTCTCACCAACATTTTAGTGCAATATTCAGCCTACCTTCTTGGAAAATAAAATACAATTTTGTTATCTTCGACAATGGTTTGTACAACAACTTTTCAAAAACAAATTTATAGAGCTATAGTGTACTTGTTCTGGATGAGATTCTTTTCTTGTTTACATATAACACCTTTCAACTGTCTTGGGGTTGTTATGCATTGATATGCAAATAAAGATAAATTAATTACCTGTAATATTGTATCTATGTATTGCAATGCCTCTTCAGAGTTGAATGACCTCCACAGCCCATCACAAGCTATGACAATATACCTGAAATGTATATCATTAGTTTAACAGATACCCAGTCACACCACAAACAACCATACTATTTGCCACCTACCTAGCTCAGACTGGCATAATGTACAAAACCATTAAGGTCTACCTGGCGGCCATTATCCATCTAAACACCGACTCAGGTCAACCAGACAACATTTCGGACAACGTACAGTTACAACGTACACTACTTGGCATCAAAAGGTCATTAGGGGACACCAAGAAACCACGACTCCCTATCACTATGAACATTCTAAGACGCCTGAAAGAATCACTCCGAACGCACCCGTCCATCCACACAAATGACAACTCATGCTATGGTCAGCATTTACGGTCACGTTCTTTGGATTCCTAGAGTCAGTGAATTTACTCTCGCCCCAGCATTTCGACAAAACCCGTACTTTACTGCAATCGAGCTACACCTCCAGTTGCGTGCCTCCAAAACAGATCCATTTCGTCATGGCTGCATCATCAAAATTGCGCCTACATTCACCTCAGTCTGTGCTGTTCGTGCGTACACCAAGTATCGCAGCATCTGTGCCCCATCACTCCAAACGCTAGCCATCCAGTTCCACTCAGGGAGTTGGCTTACACGTCAAAGCCTCACCACCCACTTGCGTGACCTGCTGACTAGAGCTGGGATCCAAAATCCATGCCTGTACACAACCCACAGCTTCAGACGAGGGGCAGCAACAACCGCAGCAGAAGCGAACGTGCCAGATTGGTTAATCAAGACTCTAGGAAGATGGCGAAGCAACGCATAGTGTATATCGACACACCTTCTTCAAAGCTACAAGCCTTGAATCCTCAGCGGTCATTCATCTTAGGCGCCTCCTACTACCTGTGGATTCTCAACTTCACGCGACTCTCACACTGGCATCTTGTTTGCCACATCCAGGTACTTGGTGCTACCTTCGACCATCCAACTTTGTACCCGCTCGTTATTACCTCGTTACATTCATTTACATGAACTATATTTCGCTTTAGACATTTGCCTTGACATGTTCGTATCAACTATTTAACTTTCAGTCATGTCGACCACCTCTTGCATTTTATATATCACGAGCAACATCACCGTTATGTACTTTAATGCCACAACATGTATTTATACCGATTCCTCGGCTTGCTTGTCGCTGCGTCATTCCCGGCTATCTCATAATTTGGGGGTTGTCATCGCAGTGCATGCGGGCACCACTCAATTAACACGTTGCCATTCTTCATGAATAGAGTCAAACTTGCGACTCTGTGCACGGAAATGGTATCTGCAGCGACGGTTGGGTGGTGACCCCTGGGTTGACTGGCCTCGATCAAGTACCATGCTAATCTCTCCGTGATGTGAATCAAATCTGCGACTCACATCACAGAGCAGGTTTCGGCGACGACGCGTGATGACGCTTGGCCGTGGCTCACACCCCTTCTGCTCTCAGCCAAGACTTGGTCTCTAGCGTCGTTTCTTAGCATTAATAGTATGATTATGCGACAGCATAGTCTGTGTTAATGCCGGGCAACGATGCTTCTATCTTAATCTCCTACACATGACTTAAGCAACACACGCCAGCCGTAATGCCCCTCACATGACATCAACGTGTACCCCCATTCATAGGTACGTGACCTTTCATCTTGCGCACGCCTCGCCCATGCTATTTCAATTCACATGCATATTCTAAGCACGTACTCTCGTGACGGTCATTCGCCTAATCTCATTTGCCATGCAATCATTAAGCTTTCCTGTATCCTGCTTTGCCTTAGCATAGTCATTCCACATTCAGAAAGTGACCTGAACCCGTCTATAAGCTATCCCACCCACACGCCACCTCATAATTTAAGCATTCAACTTTTGCATCAACCTGTATTACATTTCAACATTGTTTCAATAAAGTTAAGGGGGGGGGGTTGTCATCGCAGTGAATGCGGGCAACCACTTGATTAACACACTGCCATTCTTCGTGAATAGAGTCAAACATGCAACTCTGTGCACGGAAATGGTATCCGCAACGGCGGTCAGGTGGTAACCCCTGCGTTGACTGGCCTCCATCGAGTACCATGCTAATCTCTCCGTGATGTGAATCAAATCTGCGACTCATATCACGGAGCTGGTTTCGGTGACGACGCTTGGCCGTGGCTCACACCCCTTCTGCTCTCAGCCAAGACTTGGTCTCTAATGTCGTTTCTTAGCATTAAGCTACAATAACCATGCGCAGTGGAGAAATGAAACAAATGAACAAAGCATATGCAAATGAAAAGTATGCAAATGAATAATTAACAATTTTGAACTGCTTACAAAATATAACAATTTCAAGTCCCAATTTTCTGACTACTAGTACAATGTATTTTCAAACACGGACTTACAATGTTGGTAGAATATGATACATGTAATTGATGAATGATAAGTAGGTCTTACCTGTCATTTTCTGTTAACTGACATCGTTTAATTTCAGGAATGCATGAAACACCGCAATGTTTAAATCTACCATCACCTATTGACCTGGAAACTTCAAGAACTCCCATCACCCTACCATCTCTGATGCAGAAAATACAGCAATGATTAAAATTATTAAATAATCTGGACATCACTTTTACTTTATATATGCAGATTAGAACTTTTCCTTAAAAAATTACTTTGTCCAAAAATTGAATCTGAAAGTTACGGCATTTGTTGAAACCTGACACCATTTATCAATTACAATAAGTTATTTTTTGGTTCACTACAATACATCCCATCATGTATTGCTGTTTATTGTGTTTCAGGTGCTTGATGCAACTAACTTAGTGAGTACATAGGTTCATACGAACACAGTGGCATTATGGGTAAAACATAAATTGAAAAGGAACAAAATTGCTATATACAGGAAACTCCTGAAGAATCTGGTGTGCATCTCAGACTAGTCCTAATAAAAAGTCAAATACATCAAATCATGATTTTGTGATGCTGCTCTATTTTCGATTGTCAAGCTGAAAAACCTGTGTGTCATTTAATATTTGGATGACACCCTAAGATGCTGAAAAATCAATCAACTGAATCTACAGATCTGCTCTGTGGTATACGTCAAATGACAATACATTCCTAGCATAGCTAACTTGAGAATACCATAATTTTACCATTTCTTATATTATACCTATTACTTGACATGCCATCGCCTTCAAACTATTTTCTCAGACAATACAACTTTAAGCCACAACTTTTGTTTAACTTTATGTAAAACTTATTATCACAGAATACAAATTAATTTCTTAACGTTCTTGTAAGAGAATATTAAGAAATTATTTGAAAATGATACTGTGGATCTTTAAAGCAGTTAGAGTCATATTCAAAGTTAGCATGATACTATGCATACATGCAATGCATTATAGGAGAGGACTCCCATTGTATGTTATTACAAACTATTATTATACATCTGTTACTAGTACTGTATCGCCATAACTAACCATGTGCGGTAATTTTGTGGTATTGCACTGGGTATTTGCATCCAACCATATTAGGAAATGCGAATTTCAAATATGGCATAAGTATCCTATAATCATAAAAACAAACATGGCAGCCCCCGGGTTTGACTGAACCCCATATAAAGAAGTTTGCTAAATCTGTTCTAAACATTTTGGATTTCGGCATTCTCATGATATATTCCTGGTAGGAAAAGATGTATAAAAAACTCAGACAGTATGTGGTCGCATTGACTTCTGCTGTGCGTCAGTCGATACTCCCGCTGTACTGTCTTCGTGCATACTTTGCAGTATCCTCATAATAACCTCATATTATCAGTCACTACAATAAATGTCAAGTGTTTTAACAATACTAAGATCAATAGTATGCAATTTTGTTATTGACACTGAGCAAAACTCTTCACCACAAGAAGTCTAGTGGTCTCTATTTTTGTTTTATTTTGAGTATTTTTTGGCATTGACCAATAATAAGGAAAGCATGAAAATGATGACATTCAATTTGACTCAAACCTTACTAAACCATCATAATTAGAGGAAGTGTGGTACATATATAATGGTTAACAGTATTTGGACTGCTTGAAATCACGCACCATTGACTCCCAGTGAAATGATAAAGGCAATGGACTGAGACAAAGTAAAAACCAATATTTACCTCACTGTTCCTCCAGCTTTCTGTATTCGCTGTCTCTCTTCATACAGTGTAGGTGAATGTTCCTTTGATAGCGATATTCCCATATTCTTATCACTCTCTTTGTTGTACCGACAGAGCACAGCCTGCAACAATAGAATAATACGAAATCAAAAATATTAGCTACAATATATTCTCAGCATAAATCATGGGTCGTTTCCTTCTTAGAGAAATAGCGCGGCAGGATAGTAAAAAATATTTCAGTTAATGATACAAGCACCAAACTTGGCATGATTGCAGTTTAACTATATTTTTAACAAAAAAGCACATTAGCCATGGAAAAAAATAAAATGGAGACCATTTTGATTTTTTTTGGTGGCTAATGTGCTTTTTTGTTGAAGGATGGTTCAACATGCAACATACAAAATTTGGTGCTTGTATCACAAAGTGAAAGATTCTAGTGATATTTTGGGTTAACCTACTACGCTAAAACTATACCATCCATTCTAAACACACTCCCCCCTACAGAAATCATGATTCAATCCCTGCCTCTAGTTACCCATCTGTCAATCCATGCCCTTATATTAGAGCCAGTCAGTCCATGCCATGCAATCGACACCACCAGACGATCGATGGTCAAAGCACACCAGTCACACCATGCCAATACAAACCACCAGTCAATTCCTCCCCACAGAGACTACTAGTCAATCCCTGTTGCTTGTCTGTTTCCTTGATAACCATATTGCATTTTAGATAATCCTTCATACACACAATGCAATAGGGACATACATGACGTCATTCACTGAGTACCCATAATGCACTGTTTTAATCTAATACCATACTAAACAATGCCTACTAGTGTACAAGTTGCAAATTGTTATGAAAATATGATAATGAAGGAAAATGTGTAAACCTTACTATCACCTAAGTTGGCAATATAGAGGATGTCATTGATAACAAGTATTGATAAGGCAGTGGAACCATCCTTCCAAACTGGTTTACTGAAATAAACAAACAAACAATACATGAACATAGTAACATAAAAACCTTTGACACTATAAACACATTGACATAGTATTAAACATAAAAACCTTTGACACTATAAACACATTGACATAGTAGTAAACATAAAAACCTTTGACACTATAAACACATTGACATAGAATTAAACATAAAAACCTTTGACACTATAAACACATTGACATAGTAGTAAACATAAAAACCTTTGACATTATAAACACATTGACATAGTAGTAAACATAAAAACCTTTGACACTATAAACACATTGACATAGTAGTAGACATAAAAACCTTTGACACTATAAACACATTGACATAGTAGTAAACATAAAAACCTTTGACACTATAAACTCATCGACATAGTAGTAAACATAAAAACCTTTGACACTATAAATACATTGACATAGTAGTAAACATAAAAACCTTTGACATTATTAACACATTGACATAGTAGTAAACATAAAAACCTTTGACACTATAAACACATTGACATAGTAGTAAACATAAAAACCTTTGACACTATAAACTCATCGACATAGTAGTAAACATAAAAACATTTGACACTATAAACACATTGACATAGTATTAAACATAACAACCTTTGACACTATAAACACATTGACATAGTAGTAAACATAAAAACCTTTGACACTATAAACACATTGACATAGCAGTAAACATAAAAACGATGAAATGACACATACATTTATTCATGACATGACAGTTACTATGGTTACACTAGAGCAGACATCATAGTTGTGTCATTCAACATCACAAGTCATTGAACTTGAGTTGTTCTGACTCAAAAAGTGTGTAGCCACAAATGACACATATGAGCATTTTCAATGAAGAACTTTTGTAGTTAAGTTGAGTCATACTTGATTAAAACATCATCTAAATGTGGGGCTCCGCAAAAACACACTTTCAATTAAACATTTTGGCAAATTCTGCTTCGCAATGATAGGAAGAGCCGACATCGAAGGATCAAAAAGCGACGTCATCTCACCAGGATTTAAAAGGCTACCACTAGAGGGCGCACATGCGACATGGCATTTGAGATATTTGAAGGGCGGTAGTCATCCCGCCACTCATGTGCAACATTTGTGTTCATAAACATTGATTTTCCCACAATGCAATGCACTCTTCTAATGGCAATCAAGAGTATGAATTTTGAACTGGGTGCTACATGTACTAATTACCGTTGATGACTCTATCGATACCTTCCAATCACCAACAAAATTAGCTAGTTAAAGCGCGGTAGTTGTCGTGCGACATTTGTGTTGATAAACATTGATTTACCCACAATCCAATGCACTTTTTTAATGGAAATCTGTGAGTATGAGGTTTTACCTGGGCGCGGCTTGTACTAATCACCACCTGTGACTCCTTCGTTACCTTTCAACCACATAAAAGACCTAATTAAAGTTTCAGTTTGTACTCGTTGATCTGCGCAACAGTCAAAGTTGCCATCTTTGTTCATATGAGACCCATACATCGCGCATGTCATCGCCATTTAATGTCTACTGAAACATAGAAGTACCCCTCTCAACAAATTACATACAGTATGTGTTCACTCTAATGTTACCATAGCAACAAATAATGTGAGAATAACGAAGGAAGTACAGCACCTACAATGTACTCTTAACAGATACCAGCATTGTTGTATACATCACGTTAAAGAAACTAACAACATGACTATGCACACTTACTGAGTCGACGCTTCTTTCAAGAAGTCATCATCTGTCTTTTTAAAACTTTCAATTAAACATTTTTTAATTTCCTTATCTCTGTTGGAGACTTCTGCTTTGTGGTACTTGGATATAATATTGAGGTGAAGATTCTGAGAAGCATGCGTCGATGCTCGGGCCCCTGCATGGCCATCATATACTCCGTAAAAGGCCATCCTTGATCTGCGGGACAAAGATGAAAACAAATGAGTGTAACCCTGGTGACAGAATACCTGGATTATTACATTAGATTATAGTATTTCTCCATTCATAGACATACAAGTTGAGATGCTAAAATATTCCTTCCAATGGTTATAATTATCATCCTAAATATGTAGTACTGTAGACAACCCATACTAGTAGTTTGTTATTTTTGTACATCAAAAGAGAGACATTTTAACTTTTTGTAAATTTCTGATAGTCCAAATTGACAGTCATTATGATTTGGTCTATGTTAATTTTAAGCCCTGCTTTCTATAACATTGAGAAAGGGCAACGAGAATTTTTCATGGGGTCAGTTATTAAAGGGCGACAGTCGTCGCGCCGCGTCCTGTTCGATATGGGACTCATAGCGACGTATACAACGCGTGTAAAATACATTGTTTATTTACATGACCACCACGCTTTAAACACTGAGTCTGATTACAATTTAGCTAATTCCAAAGCACTCAATAGGCCACTAAATTATCAGCTAAGGAAAGAGCTTGTGACTCTACATCTGCCTGAAGCCGAGGTGACCATAAAAAGTGTATTTCCCGACCAATCAGCAAGTGATACAGCATAATTCAACACTTGGGCCGCTTGCTGATGTGTTACATCAGCGAATAAAATAATTATTTTATTTTCGAGTATGAGCGACCGATTATTCTCAATCAGTCACTGCAATGGTCTATAGCGTTGCTGTGCATCCAATGTTAAAAAAAGTGTTTGCGTGTGCATCAATAAATTTGAATGCGATAATATTAATGTGATGATGCATTTTAAAAAGAATGCTGACACAGTTTTTTACAGAGCAGTGTGCAGAGTATGATGTGATACAGTAGTGCCTTGGTACGGTCTTTCCAGTATTATTATAATAACTATTGTTATACATATAGATACCAAACTAAATATTTTCTGCTTGTAGAAATTTAATTAATGAGACATAACAGCCAAAATAAGAAAATAAATATTTTACATCGTGATCAGTGAGCGATTCTATTACCATCACATGCTAATATAAGTGTTTCTGCGTCAAATGTAAAAAAAGTCATTAACCTGGATCATTTTCAATGTTAGTGACGTAGTTTATCCCATATAAGGGAAAATACAGACATTGAAACAAATTTAGATACACTTTAGAAGAAATGCAGATACAGAGTCTTACAAAAATGATAAACTATTGTTTTAAGTGAGAGATTTATATTACTGTAAATAGGTACATACACATCAGTAGGAGAGAGAAAACTCTGGGTAAAGTCGTCTATGAGTGTGTGCTTATCTTGCATTTCATTTCGTTCGCCTTTTCTCTCAGCTACAAATGCTTTCAAAGGTAAACATTCTGTTGAAGTAAGAGACAAGAAATTATTAGATAAAATCTGCATGGATCATTGGTTCGAATGATAATATACATTTACTTGTATGTTCAGGGAGATTCATGTTAAAGAACACTACCTGATTTGGTTGCAACATTTCAGAGTAAGTCTCCAGCTGGCTAGTGAAAATTCATGAATATAAGTATTTGCATGTTTTTATTCATGCATGTGAAGCTCGGGTATTTCTCGCATCAAGTCCACCGCGAGATATTTCGTTTTACGCACAATGGAGAATTTAGGTTTCGGTGCGAATCTCCCAACTTCATTAAAATAATTGTATCCTATTCAAATCTAATTTGGCGTGGTGAGGAGCGTAAAGGCATTTATACCGCCTGGGGGAACAAACAACTAACTTGTCAAATAAAAATAAATAAAATACAAATGTAAGTATTAAACAAATAATTCATTCAATATAAGGATGCCATAGCAACAACAGTTTCTGAACAGAAAACATGCGGCAATGTCAATCCCACAAAAAGTCCACTCAAATCTGTCCAAGTTTAATTCACCGGCAATCGTCACACAAACCTCGTCGCCTCTGCCTTGCAAGTTTGGCTGCAATACAATCCGCAAAGCGTTCCTGGTGTCTTCTGGGTTGTTTTTCTGATCTGCAGGAAATCAAAGGAGTGCCTCTAACGAGTGTGCGACGTGCATGTACGCCGACTTGATGCTCTCCAAACATGTTCCTGTTCACGGTCCCAACAGAATCTCGCTTTCAGCTCCTGTCATTTTCACGGGTTACCATAATAAATAACGCACGGGCCCGTAATAACAAGGAATATAAAGAAAACTACATAGATTTAAAGAAACAGTAAAATTACCCTGGTGTCACGTGATCACTGCACCAATTGAAGAAAAGCATCTACCTGGCATCTTCATGTCTTACCTGACTTTGGTGTAGTTGGACATGTCATTAAGTAGTAACAACTGTTTTACCTTGTGTTGATCTAGAGAGGACTTTATCTTCTTCCTCAAGTTTCCTTCGCTTTGGAGGTATGTAACCAAGTACATCTGTAACTTCTTTGCTAGCAATCTTCAGAGTAGTCTCAGCTGGAAGATCATCAAATAATGATGGCCCTGTATTTTGCAACTTTGGTTGGGTAGTGGTGGCTGTAAGAATAGTTTCTTTGGTTTGATTGTCTATTGGAATGAATGACAAGTACATTTTACATGTCAATTGCAATGAGATACAACGTACACACAGACGCACTATTCCCACTATCCTCGGGGCGGACATCTGGGTATTTTCACCTCCTGGCAACCACCACAATGAAAACAAAGGCCGAAAACTTTCAGAAAACTGTACTTTGGGATAGTTGTTGAGATTCTATTGAACAGTGTAACAAGATTACCCCTGGATGTTTAACATATATACATTTGGTTATACATGATTACATCAAAGTTGAGTTTGTGCTGTTTCCTTTTCCACGGACTCTTCGACCGGCGTTGCACAGCAGCTCGCACAGAGCCAATAGAAATAGATGGTACAGTGGTGAACGTCTTGTGAAATTGCTCCGCCTCGAGGATACCAAGGTTTTGGACACTTGGTAATAATCAGACAGCTAACAATCAAATAAACTAAAACTTGTTTAAACAGGACTTATTCGTATTTTTGATTATTACATTAATTATTACATTTCTGTTATTTACATTCACAGTGCCAATATAGTAGACCAATTTCTGCTGCAGTGTTGCAGTGTGATACTTTAAGTTAGTTTTTTTGGGAACGCATAAAATTTCCCAGTAGGAATTAAACTGGTTACGTAGCAAAAATATAAAAAAAACAGAATATGGCACAATATAAAAAAAAAAAAAGAAAGAAAGTAAACACTATAAAATATATTATCTCTGAAATGAGGTTATATCTCTGATTTGCTGTCTTGTAGTAGTAGTAGTAGCTCCACATAATAGTCAATAATTCAAAAGGGGTTCAACAATTTGAAATCTCGGGGTATGACTAGAAGAGTGAGACCAGTACAATTTTTTGAACGGTTTCTTATCTGTTATTATTATTTGATGTGCCAACATTTATTCACTGCAAAACCTGCAAGTTTTTTTTAACAAATCCCCCCCCCCCAAGGATTCTAATGGTCGCCCTTTAATGTTCTTATCAGCAAGAAAATCAAATTAAGCTACCATTAGTTTGGCTAATGTTTAAAACGTTGTGCACGCCATAGCAAGTGTTTTGCTCAAATATCAGATGTATTTGTATTGGGAGGGGGACTTGAATTTGAAATTGGTTCACATGATGCAACATACACTGGCCAGTCGTGGCAATTTTATATATATATATTTTAATTTTGGTCCAATGTGAAATACCACATAAATTCACATCAACACAAGAGATTCTACTAAACATTCTGGATAGTATGTATTGTATAAAACAATAAAATTGCCATGACTTGGCCAATTTAGCTGGAACACAAAAAATGCATAGTATATGGGTGGTCTTTGCATGTATGATGTTTAGGGTTATTAATAAAATTAAAAAAAATAATAAAACAATTAAGGGTATATTTTCCAATCTCCATGTCTTAATTTTGTTCGTGAATCTCTTTTTGGAACACCGACGATGATTCTTGAGAATAAATTTGTCTCCCAACATACATCACATTCCAAAAATTTCCCCGGCAAATTAGGTTTGCTTTTGATGATTTTGTACTTGTAATGTATTTTTTGTTGTTGCAAATGTTATTTTGCGTGGGTACCATAGCTCCAATTTAAATGCCTCCCCCAGAGTGTTGGTCAACTGAACGAATTCAATATCATTCATACCTTCCAAATAAAAAAAATGAAACCACACCTGATACCCTGATGTCAGGGTTATTCATTTCCCCAATAAATAAAAAAAAAAATAGTTTGATCCAATCTTATTTTTGCTAAAAAAAAAGAAACATCACAAATTCACATAATAGCCTGTTTCCTTCAAAAGATTGGGAAAAAAAAGTAGCCAAATTTATTGAGTAAAAACTGAAAATTTACTCAAATTTTGTATGTTGGCTCCACAATCATTAGGGTTCTGCGGAGAATGTTAGTCTGACCTAATTAGACACCCACTGTTGTTGCCACACCCACAGTTCTTTCAACCAATCACATCCCGGTGTTACTATTTGTAGTTTGTTTGTTGTTTAAGTGTAACTTGCTTGTAATCGAGTGAAGCGAATAAAGAGTCTCGATTTCTCTATAGCCCATGAGTACAGGTTCATTTCCAGAAATATTGAAGAATATAAGAAAAAAATATGATGAGAAAGTCTGGTGCTGAAAAGGTTAAGAAGGTCACGACTTTAGATGTGTAGAATGCTATTTAAGCAGTATTTGAGTGCAAAGGACTGCCTACATACACTGTGCACATACTGCAGGTAGCTTGTCAGGAATCAAGGTGTTTGGGCCAGTATCATTACAAAGCTGCAATCCACAACCTGTAATTATACGTTTCTCTTCAAATTTTGCATGTATCCACCTGACAGCATTTGAGTTTATATTGTAATAACTCAATTAATTTAGCAAGGTAAGTGACTGGAAATGTGATTTTCAATCTTACAGTAAGTATGTATTTTTTCTTTTTTGGTTGCCAAATGTTACAAAGATTTCTTGTGGAGAGGAGATAGCAGACTCGGATATATTTTGTGGATATTGCCAAAAATTGACAATTGTGGATTTTTTCTTCTATTTTTCTTTCCCCCAGATTTCACCCTAGCCATAATTTTTTTCTACATCCTCCAGCTCTCGACTCAGACTTTAAATGTGTTATCCTAATCAGTGATACTGACATGATATTTGCGTGACACTTTCACGGAATCTCCTTTCTCTTTTCGTTACCTGCTTCTGGTATATCTGCAAACAGATCCATAATAACGCACTGATGACTTCTTGTACCAACCAGTTAACGCTTAGTTTTTAAAAGATGCATATCATAATGGTAAAGACATTTTTTTTTTGAATCGCTTGCCTAAACTAGTGACCTCGATCAGTAGATATCTACCTACGACCTCTGACTTTCAACCCTGGTTTTAAACGCCCACCAGAGGGCGCACGTCGTTAACAACACGATTCAGTGCTCCATTTCTGGTTACCTGCAACTTGGACTGGCTTTCCAACGGCTATGTGCAAATTAATATAGCATTTACAAGTCCAAAACACCCTGGATGCTTGTTCTGGGTGTCATAAATATTAAATTTTTTTAAAGCGAGAGGTCGTCACCAGCGCACGCAAAGGAATTAGTGTGAAGAGATGTTGTAAGATGCCCTACTTCGACGACACTATCTGTTCATTCGACGACACTATCTCCGATTTCCTTTTGTGCGTTCAGTCTTTTAACATGTTCTTGTTACGACTTAGTGCCATAACGTATGCTATTGTAAACTAAACAATGGCGTTTTATATAAAATCTATAATACAGCAGAACTCCATTGTAGTTATTTCACAAATGCTAAACATCATAAGCGAGACGGACGCACAAGATAGCCCCCCCCCCCCTGGGGGGGGGGTACTTGCATAGAAGTGCAATACGGGTATGTGCCGCCCGAATGGGGTGCCATTTCACGTTATTTTGTTTAGAAGTGGGTAGCCATTTATCAATGTTTTGGTTAGAAGTGTGTAGCACTTTACTTTTTCACAGATCCTTATATTCAAAGCCATATACTGGAAAAGGCTGAATAAAATGCATTGCCGGGTGCGCTCACTGGTTGCGAAAGTTGTGAGCTGGGTGTTTTTTTTCGTTGAATACACTTGTGTTTAGAAGTGGGTATATAAATAGAAAACAAATGGTTTAGAAGTGAGCATGGTTCACGAGAGGTGGGCTTCACACCCTTACCCACTTAATGTGGAAGTAGCCCCCCCCCCCCCGGGATAGCCCATAACAACTTATGTGACATACATTCAAGTAGGATACGTATTTATTAAAATCATATCTCTATGACTGCATATAATCGATTTTAATATTTGTTTTTCTATTTTTTGGATATTTGAAGTCGCCAGTAGGTCATTTTTTAATAAAGTGCGCCATCACGCGGTCGCTAACAGTTGCGGGTACTGCTTTCTTGATAGGTAATCTCTTCACAGTTCTGTGATACTAAGCTCAGCAAAATGCAAAAAAAAAAAAAAAAAAAAAATGTTTGTTTACGTAAACACTTCAGTCACATATACTATAATAATAATACCAAATAAGTTTTACATAATATAACGATGTTTTGGCCTGAACAGCAATATTAGAGTTCCCTGTCAGGAAAAAAGCACGGCTGATCTGCACTGGCTTGGAAGATGAATTCTGATTGGCTAAAAAAACAAAAAAACTTGTGGCGTTGAATGCACGTTCATTGTCAGTATTGTTATGCAAATTCAAACTAGCTAATCATTTACAACCTTCCGAGCCAGTGCAGATTAGCCCAAAAAGCAGAGAGAAGTGTACTTGATGGCGCCCTAGTACTGGTGATACTACATCTCAGATCCTTAAATCTCAAAAAACCTATATGTGGTTTCTAACACTATTGGCCATCACTTGCTATCATACTCGTGATATTGAACAGCAGTGTGACTGAGAACTTTCAAATAAAAGCTGAATACGTTTACTTTAAAACTGGAGGGTCGTCACCTGCGCACGCGCGGGAATTAAGCCCCAAGCGACGATAACAACACACGAAAAAAAATGCAAAGGCTCATGGGTAGACGCTTGTTTGTAAACAATGACACGCTATGGCCATCTGACGCATGCGCAGGTGACGACTCCCTCACTTTAATGATATCCTTGATCAAGACTTGGCGACATGGCGAGTATGTTATTGCTCTAGTTCGATAACTAATAACTGATAATCAGTTTGGCACGGATTGCACTCAACGCTAAATACACACATGCCAAAAGAGCACTCTACCGAAGCTGCGAAAACTTTGGTCTGTTTACAAATTTTAAATTTACAAATGTAAATTTTACTACATTGCCATTTTTGTTTACGTAATTTTAACTTTTTTTAAAGCTGACAGGAATACGGGGTTTATTGATTTAAAAAAAACAAAGGTTCATTATTTTTTTCAACAAACTTCAGCAGTTGTCATCTCGAAATTATATAATCATTTGATTTGATAGTTCTACTGTTTAGTTAATGTATTGTATGACAATACATGTGTAGGCTGTTTTGCATACAACAAACCGATTTGCACTAAAATGGGTAAAGTGGAGTGAACAGATTTCATAACAAAGCTCTCTGTTATAAATACAATACAGTGTACATATTTTGTATTACCAAATGAATTATTTAACGTTAGCAAACATAATCACTTTTGGCCAATGACGTAATATTCAAATACAATAATTCTATGTATATATTATTGTGACTTATATTTTGTAAATGCTGAATATATAATAACAGTATTTATATTTCTTCTGAAACTTTGGAAATATATTATATAATGAATCCTAAATCTATCTGTGTATTAAACCGTAAGAACGGGGAGGGGGCTTGTTACATTATAGATTGTGTGATACTATTGATTCACAACCAATAGACATGTTGTTGTAGACATGAGTCGTCTTGTTATTTATGAGTAAATCGAAATTCTTTTGGTGGAAAAAAAAATGATTATACTCAACATCTCCCACACTGAGAAAAAAAGTGTGTTTGCAGGAAAAAACAATTTGCAATTTAATCGTTTCCCCCCAGAACCCCTCTTTCCAATTTTCAAATGGTTAACTTCCTAATGGATTTAATGATTCATTCATTCATGGTATAATATGATATGATGTAATTCCTGTAAGCAGATTGTGGTCCGTTTTTTCTGAAGGATAAAATCTTCGGAAACTGACTCCGCCAAAATGATATTGCTTCTTAGATTTTGTTTGCCTCTTTACCTGTCTGACTGTGAGTAAGATATCTCGAAAATTCTACGATTAAAGGATTTAATTGTTGAAAATAAAATTGAACAATTCGTGAAAGCTGCTAAAACCGATATGTAATATAAGTTTTTGTGGTACTTGGTAAGAGCGATATAGATATTGTTGCACTGCGAAAGAGTAATTGCATTGTTTTCAACGTCTTGTTATATTTAAATAATTTACCAAGTAGTACAATTACGAACTACAATTTTCTACATATTAGATATTGGGAGAAATTTGGGCTTGATTACCATTAAAACATAATTTCTTGCAACTAAGCTATATCGCCAGGTAACTCGAAACGTTATGGGTGATTTTTGTCATGAAATTTTAAGGAGTTGCTCTCATTAAACGACAAATCAACAACTCAAAAAAATATGAACCAATTTTCATAAAACTTATAGGAATTGTTACCCTTCAGACAAGAATAAGACGATTAAGCTTCTATTAGAGTATGACTTTTTGCAAGGATTCTTCATTACTGTTAACTAAACACGTTAAAGATGAATTGTTATGAAATATTTAGGAGAAGTTGGCCTTTAAAACAGAAGCGCGATTGTTTAGATTTTGAAGGAAATCTGGAAACGGCAGGTGTTAAAGGATTCCATTACTATTACAAGATAATTAAAGAAGGCAGTGGACGAATGGTGTGAGGGGATTTCCATAAAAAAAGGGGTCCAGTGTACTCGATTCTGTTAGAATCATGACTCGATGCCATGATGGAGACAGTAATCATTGTCGAATAATTTGTTTTCTGATTCATTAAGTGAACAAAATATTCACGAGTCAAAACTAGAAAATAATGAAATCGTTTTGCACATTAAAGACGTATATAAGATATAATAATACACCAGGCCTAGGGTGGAGATATTAGTAAGAAACAGTATTTATTTCTGTATTTATTTCCTTAAGTTCTGTATTTTTTTGTTTATGAGTAATAAAAAAACAAAAAACAAAAAAACAGTACTTTGCAGCTGTAGCAAACGTTTACTGAATTATCATATGTCACCATAGCAAACTACATTCTATAAAGACAACACATTTAATTGTTGTGACGTCACTTTCCATACATCATTGACAGTATAAATACTCATATACATAGCGACATAATCGTCCATTCATTAAAGTAAAGTACCATGGTCAATTATTTAAAATATTCATAAATTTATTTGCGAATATATCTAGAAATAACATTGAAAAAAAACCTCCAAAAAAGTGTTCATTCATTTGTTTATATTCAATATGTTTATATACAAGAATGTCACAAATATGCCAAAAAAAACCTCAAAGCACGACGGAATGAGCAGTGCTTATCCAGCCCAAGTATTGCTTTGTATGTGTTGCTATGGAATCAATATTAGCGGCATGACGGACTTTACTCACTTCACTTACATGATCTGTTAAAAACTACACTCTCACTTCATATACAAGCTTAAATTACTTCTGGATATTTCAAAAAGATTCGACAAATAATCGATTTTTTTTTGCGTGCTTACAAATCACCATTTTATAATATATCCCAATATTCTGTGGAATGACATGAATACGAACGAACACATATTGTTGCAAGCTTTAGAACTTGCTTGGAGTCATTAATCATAATGGTTCTCCCAGCTGAAGAGTGGACAAGAGGATAGCTTTAATCAAAGACTGCGTCTATTTGATACTAGGTTATGGTCTAGAATGTACGCGGTGCTGTATTTGTTGTACGCTACTCCAATAACTTGAACGCCTGGTTAGGACGCTAGTGATATCTCACCATCCATTGGAAACCAGATTTATGCAACGCGTTCGGGAAATGAAATACCCTTTATCACCTCACAATCCCCTCCAATCACACAGACGATTGGCAGTGTTTATTATGACGAGATGTTATTCAACAAATCAAATCTACAGAAATAGGTGAGAGGAGATATCACTAGCGACGCGTCTAGGCGTTCGTGTAGTGACGTATACAGTCATTTAGCATTTCAGCAAGTTTGATACTCAAGAACTCGAACTAAAGACATCCTCCTACATTTATTTTTTTGTCGAACGCATTGACATTTCCCCTTCCACAATGGAGTTCTAACGATCAGCTGATGGTACAAGACACAGGTGTACATAAACAATATTATATTATCAGCATACAAGTCAAATTAAATGAACGTTTGACGCTATTTGAAGACATTATAAAAACAGTTTGTGCATATTGAAATACAAGGTAGGATAGCGGTCAACGAAAACGTAGGCCTTTATTTATTCATTCATCACGTTATATTCGTCGTATTTTGGTTCATGTAGGCGTATGGAGATATTCACGAGGCGTATATAGTTACGCGTGTAAGGTGCATCGTCTCCTACAATGAATTGCACGTAACCGTTACAGATCTAGAGTATCGGTGCCTGACACAAACTGGTCACATCACCTGTCACAACAACTAGTCCCAAATGGCGACACTGACAATTCAACATTTCTGCGGAATTCCTCGGTGGGTAACCACATCCACATGGGCTAGTGACTGCGTCGAGGACACGGGTTGGAGGCCTGTAGTTCGAATTTATGTTGGAAGCAATTACTTGCTAACATTGTCTGCGTAATAAGTCAGTATCATAGTCTGACTTCTCCCGCATCTTCTGGTCTCAAGGTGTTTCCTCGGTAGAAATGCCTACTTCCCCTTGTTATTTCCACATCTACTAAACAGGTTTAGAAATGAGAAGGGATTCAATTACTTGCAAATATTGTGGTCATATTGCATCAATATTGTTTATTATTATTATACATCTGTCGTCGTAACGCCATAAGTTACAGCGTGCCGTAATTTTGCGGTTTTGCACTGGGTATTTGCATCCTATCATATTAGGAAATGCGAATTCCAAATATGGAACGATTACGCGCGTAAGCGTCCTCTAATAATAAAAACAAACATGGCTGCCACCAGGGTTTGGCAGGAACCCACACAAAGAAGTTCGCGAAATCTGTTCTAAACCTTTTGGATTTCGTCATTCCCATGATGTATCATTGGAAGGAAAAGATGTATAATAATTAGGTTAATATGATGATACCGCAAAGTATGTACTCAGACAGTACGCGGTCGCATCGACCTCCACTGCGGGTCGGTCGAAACTCCCGCTGTACTGTCTTCGTGCATACTTTGCGGCATCCTCGTAGTAACCTCTCAATATAATCTTGTAACTTGCAGAATAATGATGGTTATGTGTACATAAATTATAGTGCCATTAATGGTGTCAAATTACTAGGTCGCTTGGTGGCGCCCTTTATGCATTGACCGCATTTTGGCGAGCAGGACTTTTACAGTCACGGTCTGTATCATATATTACATTACATAGACTACGGATTATCGTGTTTGTCCTTTCATGTTCAGCTAACCTTATCATGTAACCGATTACGCTGCCTGGTATCCTTAAATTTGCATTTTGTGAAGATACGTATGATGTTTATGAGACGATGTGCGAATGACAGAATAATGATGATGAATGGTCCAGGTTTACTCTTTTTCCGGCAAAAAATAAATAACAATTGAATTATGTAAATAACAAATTAAACGTAAAGCCGAAACAAACATCAGCATGCAAACTCGCTGACTATTGTCGATATATCAATGTTTAGAACATATTAATATTTGTGCATAATTATACACTAATATATGTCAATCCGAGAACCATTCATAACATGACAGTATGTAAATGTAATGATGACCCATAACCATTCAGCGCTGTTCGCCAGATAACTGGCAACTTATCTGTCGCACACACCAAATGAAAGGCATGCGTGTTGCCATGTAATCTAACAAAGATCCACTGGATAATAATTAGCAAGACTGGGCAAGAGGAATATTTTCAGGTCAATTTAAAAAAAGGGCGCCACCATTGAAAAATTGAGCAAGTTATGAACTCAGGAAAAATCATGGATAGAAAAGCTTAGGGAAACAGACCATAGACGCCAATGGTCGCCGAAATCTCGAGAACGAGAAACCACGTGACTAGTTGCGTTGTTCGGTCGCCCGACGAGATCTTGGCCGGCGGCCATTTGCGTATGAGGTGTATTTGGCAGACAGTGGATGAACATGAATGTAACTCTTCCCACAATGCATCACATCGAATACTGTAAAACATATTCAAATAGCTACATGCCATTTTGGCATAAATGCAGAAATTAAGAATCTTAATATAGCTGACGTGTCAACAATCTCATTGCGAGAATATATATTTTTTTAAATTTGTTACTTTTTGAAATAGCAAAATTGCAGATTAGCTGATTTAGCGGCTAAACTAACATGCTCGCTAAAAAACATGTTTTACAGTACACTCTAAATAAACCGCTACAAATAGTTTATACGTCACGCATTTTTACCATTAGAGAACAAGTAACAGGTGCTCATTTGACGCATGCGCAGTGTTCATAGAAAGTTGCATTTCGGCTAGAGGCCCGGGCTTTAGATATTATTATTCCCTGATTTTGATTTCGGTATTATATTTGGGTGTCACGAATTGGCCATACATGTGCCTCCATCACTCCGTACGTCATTTATTTATTGTCTCGTTCTCTCCACGGTATTTATTTTAAATGAAATATAAACACGAAATCTTCTCCACAATGTGTCCAGTTGTTATAATTATTTTATTTCATTAATATGTTCAAAATGTTTTGAATCTGTTAATTGGAATGTTAATTAAAGTTGATATTCACCATCAACATTGTTCTTTATTAGATACCTTGTACCCTTAAACTTTCTTTACTTGTCGATTTTATTAAGTACAGATAATAACTGTTGGATTTGTCCGAAAGCTGCAAAATGTACCATTGCTTGATGGTTATGGAAGCTGATATCTGAAAGCATTGTTCTGAAGGATGTTTTCAGTCATAATGTAGTGTATACATAAAATAACAAAGACATGGATTGAATTATATACGGTCAAATAGGTAACACATCTAGAAAGTATATGTAATTCTGTTGTTTTCTTCAGAGAATCATCGATGAAATGGTGAAAGTAAAACGGAATATATCAGCATTGTAAAATTTATGCGAATAAACGAAAAAGGAAACGACATAAAACTGATATGTCCTATAAACGCGAATTTAAAATACTAAGTGAATAGTAAGTACTTTATTAGTATTAGTATTATCGTTAAATTCAAGTTAATCAGGCTTTGAATTGCATTGCGGGAAATGTTACGAATTTTGCAATCATACCCACTATACATAACCAGTGGGGGCGTCTGTTTATTGACATTGTTGGTCGAGTCTGGTCTGGTCATTGACAGCGTGGTTGTACATGTGCGAAGTGCTGGCAACGTAACAAATTAGGGTAAAATAGGGAGAGAATTGATATTGAAACGGGTATACTTAACTGTAACCATAGTTACGTATTAGAGCATGCTCTTACTTTCTGTACAAGTTGCCCCTGATGACGTATTGCAGGATGAACTTGGCCTTGCCTGAGGCGTTTTCCTCTTGTTTGTCAGCATCTTTGACTGGGGTTTATTTCGTTCGGGTCGGAAAACAACTATGTAGACTTTTGGTGAAAAAAGACACGCTAATACAACAAAGCCACTCAGACTGATGGCAAATGATGTTGTTGTTATTCGAACTTGTATGTTATTGGCTGTGGTAAGGTAAATAGGTATAAACGCTAGCCATATGATACACGTAGTGTACATAGTGAAGCCAATAAACTTGGCTTCGTTAAATGCTTCCGGGATTTTACGAGTTTTTATGGCGTATAGAGTACAAAGAACCATCAGAAATATTGGATAAGCAAGTCCGAGCATATACGAAGTGTCCACTGTGGCTCGGCAGACAAGTTGCGCTTCATCCCTCGTTGGGTAGTGACGTATAGCTTTCGGAGGTGACGCTACAATGAACGCTGACGATATGACCACCTGTATACTAACCAGCACGGCAGTGAAAACCAACTGCGATTGCGGACTAATATAGCTCGGTCTCTTCGCTGAGGTTTTCCCGCTGTTGAAAATTCTCGCGATTCGGTTTGTTTTAATCATGAGCGCAGCGTAACAGGTGGCAAAGGCGATGCCGATCATGAATTTCTGAGCACCGCAGATAATGTCATTTGGTTTGGTGATCATCAGAAACGTCATGCAGAAACAGAGGAATACGCCGAGTAATAGTACGTAGCTTAGTTCGCGCCCGGATGCTTTCACCACGGGTGTGTCGTTATACCTGATGAATAATACTACCGTGGCAGTAGTCAGCATAATGCCGATGGTTGCGAAGGCTATCGAAGATATAGCCCATACACTGCTGTATTCCATGTGCACAGCCTCGATCTCAAAACATCCTGTTAGAGTCTCGTTGGGCAGGGTTCCGTCAGGACACTCTGCGCATGTCAGATCGTCTTCAAGATAAGCATATTTTCCACACGGCACACAAACCCAACAACATTTTTCCCCTTCTATCATTGACATTTTTTCTCCTGGACCGCAAGGTAGACTGCATATAGACTGGGGATAGTCGGGTTCCTCCAAACGATACTGTAAGACAGACAGGTCCAGTTCAAGAGTGTGGTCTGCATACTGACCTGCATCCACATAACCGTATTTGCCTGGTTGCTTTTGCTGGTAGTTCATTATTTTATACCTAGCCGGGCCATCTCCTCCTTTCATAAACTCAAAGGTGTCACCAGTAATTCCTGAAAAATTAATAATAACAATTACGTAATCCAGGTGTACTAAAAACAAGAAAACACTCAAGATTTTATAATATTTGGCAATATTATTCAAATATGCCATATAAAAGAAAAATAGGAACGGTACTTTGCTCGTGATTTAAATATAGTGTGAAGATCTTGTTTCCCTCTCTGTTACTCTCCGTTTGTCTGCATAGAGTGCAACACATTGCGCTGTTCAAATGTTTAATACAAAGGCGGACCCAGGATCGTAAGCACAGTGAAGGGCAACTCACAAATCGCTGACGTCACATGTTTGTGTGTACGCACCTAAGACGAAAATGGTTTTGGTCAACCAGGAACTATGGTTTAATTGACGACATCGAAAAGAGGCTAGACTTATATATATGCAAATACATTAACGTTTTGAGGTAACCAGCAAATGCTCATCTGGTATTATTGTTTTGTTGTTTTCTGCAGAGTAGTATTAGTAGCTGGCGTGGTAATATGATAAAATCAGTCATCTTGAATCCTCGTCGAACACAAACACATAATGTTAGATGCAATTTGTCAGACTCTCAATCGAAACAATCAACTTATAATTAGGTAATTTTAATTCGGCGTTATGATAAACGCATTCCGTTCATGCGAGATCCCGCGTTATGCGTGAAATCGAACGTAAAAACAGGACAAACAAAGGTCATAGCGTCGTCGTGGCGACAAATTAAACATCGCGTCGGATTCGACAAACGCAAAAGTATTTTGGGATATATTTCCATGCTTAATAATGTGCTGTACACATTTGATGATAGGCAATTTCGATGGAGTAAGGGTATTCAAACCCAATACCCCCCTGACAAAGATCGGCTATTCGATGCGAGCTACGAAATAAAGAAATTCGAGTTCAAAATCAAATCATTTGAGTTTTGCGGCAGACGTTCGACGCGCGTTCTTCATGCAACTCGCGAGATTGAAACCGAAATTGTCACCAGCCAATCAACGTTGTTGAGCGACAATTTCTTTTTTTTTCAAATACGCACAAGTGTTCAGGTTTGTAGGTAATAAGATATTCACATGCGAGATATTTGTTCACAAAAGAATGCCGAATCTGGCCGAAGAACTCCGAATCTGACCGATGAATGCCGAATTTGGTAGAATTTCGTTAGCGGATGGATTTAAAAAATGACTTCCTGTATTGATAACAACGAAAAAGGTTCGCCAAATGTCATAATTTGCAGAAAACCCTCCCACACAAATCAAAGCACAACTTAGAACGCATGCGACTAGTTCTACGTTCAATAGTAACAAAGCGTTACATGCACTGGCAGTTAGTAATCAAAACGATATAAATATTAAAAAGCAAATAATTACAGTGAATTGCATAAAGGCATGAATGTTTTTATATAAAATATCAATAAATGTTTTTTAAATTTCAAATGTTAATTGAAGACAACTTGACCATTCATCACGTGGCACTACAGTAAGAATGGACCAATGATTGAAATCCGCAAAGAATCATGGGTAATGGGCGTCAATGGAAGGACATTCTTTGGATTCGAATGAAGCAGAAGGGTCGTCCAGGGTAAATGTGTTATATCTTATAAATTGTCATTAAAACATTAATGCCTTTATTCATTTTACTGTACTCAAATTAGATTTCGAATATCTCCCAGTCTAAGAATTAATATAATCATATCAACAACAGTAGAGTGGAAAAAATGATTTTAGTTCTCTTAGTATGTATCTTGAGAATTTGGGAGAAAATTACTTTGAAGGGAAATGATTTGCAATATAACGCACTACAATCTCAAACGGCGAACCCAAAGGACCATACACACAAGAAGCCTGAGCTTTCATCAATTTAAATTGAGCGCTTGTCGTATGACCTTTGACCTACGTCTACCCGTTGTCACGTGATGTATCAAACGTCACTTCACGATGCTGAAGATGATTTTGTGGACACCAAAAGATTCTTAAAGCTGACTCTGAAGGTAACTTTGAGCTCTGACTAACGAAGTCTTTAGAAAGGTTTTTGCTTTGCGTTTCATATCTTGTATTTTGTTTGGGGTGAATTCAAGATGTCTGCCCCGGATGTCTGCCTAACACGATATCGGCAAATTCGCTGTTTCTATGACATTACCATTTGTTGACTGTGGATTTCTGATACTTTGACGCAACATTCGAATCACTATGATGTATCGATCGCTTGTAAGTGCGCCCGCCGATGTACATCGTATCCGACCATCGCGGAGTCTCGTATGATCGCTAACCGAAGTGTGGGTTTGCCCCGGAAACACAAACATTTTAAGGCGAGGTATTCGTCACCTGCGCATGCGTCAGATGGCCATAGCATGCCATTGTAAGTAAGTCATTCTTTATTGCTATCGTATCCCATTTGAGATCTTGACATAAAATACAATAAAGTCAAAAACATGTAATAATAAAAAAAAATGAAAATTAAAAGGAAATACTAAAAATACTGTAAATGAATTGTTTACAAACAAGAGTCTACCCATGAGCCTTTGCGTTTTTAGCGTGTGTTGTTATCGTCGCTTGAGACTCAATTGCAGGTGACGACCCTCCCGCTTTAAACCTAACCCTAACCCGATTTGTGTACCCTAAATTTGGCGGTTTTAAATGTTTCCGAGGTTTCCGTGACTACTTTCCTGTCACAGAAGAACGTGATTTGCTCCTCAGTCACTTGGTCAGAAGACTGCGATAAAGACTTGTTGTTTTTGACATTGTTAAACTTTTTCGTTTTTTTGGGGGGGGGGGCGGGGGCGGAACCCTGAAAAAGTATTTTTACCAAGTAAAATCATATTTATGAGTTGTTGAACACACTACATAGTTTGTAATTTCATCCAGCTTCTTTCAGTCATAATTCAAGACAAATAAAAGGCAAAAATATAAAGAATATAGCAAATTATCTTTTTTCTGCAATATTCTTGTGTAATATGAAAATTATTCATGGGTGTATATGGAATACATTTCGTTATGATTTATTCTTAATAAAAAACATCGTTAATTATATTTTTCAGGTTTTTTTTCTCTATAAAAAAGGAAAGAATTCCACAATGTCAAAAACGGTAAGTGTTTCAGATGTGGTTGGAGGCGATGTGCACAGGACATCGGGAATCAATTGATTGCAACCACATCCGATTTTAATCAGACTCGGAACTATATATATATTGCGCCACCTACGACGCGTTGGATGCTTGCACTAAGTAACTACGATTGCAAACTATTCTATAGTAAGCATTCACAACAGTAATACTTCCATGCTTTTATTTGGTTACGCCTTTACTTTACTACGAACCGAACAATACACGTGTCATGCATTTGAAACAAGCCCACATGCACTCACACGTTGACTCAATATGGGGGGGGGGGTTAACATGGCATCATGCTCAACATTGTTATGACGTAGTACAATATGGTAATTTTATTACCATAACGAAATTGAAGCATAATGGTTACGAGGACGCAGACAAACACAGATGGAGCAAAAAGAGAAATAAAAGACCATAAAATGCACGAAAGAAAGATGCTCTGGACAATTACCCCGACCAAACAGCTTACCACTGAAGGACACCTTCCGTAAGTACTCCAATAGTTCATTGCCTTTTATTGGTTGCATTTTTTTGCAAAGCCCTAAACCGCCGCATTTATCGGCGTGCATGTCCTTAAGAGCGTACGCGAACGCCAACACAGCGTCCGCTACGAACTGTAGCTGCCCGTCCTGTTCGTAGTCTTTCCCCTTTTGCAACTTCTCGTCACCGGTGCATTCTTTGCCTCTAAAGCCAACATTATTCGGTGTTATTGTTGAGTTTGGAAGCATGCATTTGAAATGCGTTTCCCAGAACTCTTGGAACCACGGATTGCGTTCGTTGTCGTTTGGATCTAGGCCTAGGAAATAGTCGTCGAAACCTGAAACAACATTAATATGGAATATGTAAAAGATATTTGAAGTACAGTTGAATAAATATAGTTTAAACGAATAAATGTTTCTAGCGTTTTTACGAATTGGTTGTTAACCAAAAGAGCGCCAATATACATGTACTGTTAAAAGAATAGGCTATTTGTGGACTTCCGGGTCACGTGGTATTTTCGTCCGGGTAAGTCATACACTTTGCCATCTTACCCAGTCTTCTTCGTCACGGTAGCTAGTCTAATCACTGAAATATACCTCTAAATATATATCCAATATATAGTTTTAATTACAGGAAAGCCTTTTCAATTTTGAAACACCGTGATATACTGCTCTTGGCTCGATCTTTTTTTCCCCAACAACCGACGACCTTATCAGTCAAGAACAATCTTCAAACGCGCTTACTGGCGTAAACGAACCCTTGACACTCCTACCTTGAATTGGTTCTGCTAATGGTTGAACCGTAATAGCGCCCTCTAGTATACTCTCTTTGCCTTGTTCTGCGGGCAGTTGTCTATTACTCCATCCATCACTTCCCACCCATACAAAGTGTCCAGGACCTTTCATTTTCTTGGCTGCTCCCATGAGGCCAGCAGCATCCTGCTCCGATCCATACACTATGACAACTTGAATAAACAAAACAACAACATAACGTTATTATAAGAACCCAGTTGGATATAACATGCTCAGCGTTGACAGTGCCCTCAGTGTTCCAAAAATGTGTAATATTTTAATTCAAAAATAATAATTTTTAATCTGTATTGTACGGTAAATATAAAGACATCATTATTGGTATCCGCTTACACGTCATCAGATATTTGCAGATTTATTCAATTACACTTTGATTTGCATTAATACGGTTATCATGCTTACATGACCAAATCGCCAATTACAATTTTATTTAATCTATTGACATTTGTGTGTCAATATATAAATATTTTTTTTATATATTTTTTTTTTATTTTGAAATTATTAAATGAATGAAAAAAATGTGTACGTATGATAAAACAGAGAATCTACAAGTCTCCGAGAGCTGTTAAAGGCGTGGTTGAGGATCTAGAACCACTGATCTCGCGAGTTCAAGTCAGTTCTTAGAGAATAAAAACAGGGCGAACGCTAACAGCACGGTGTATGTGGGTGACATGCATTGTCTAAGCTAGTCGCCTGTCATGAAAATCGAAAGAAGACGTCCAGGATATACACCGGATTAACTTGGCAAAATCAATACTTGGAGATGAACATCTGTTTGCAGCCGCTGTTTGTCGGTGCGTCAGCGATCTATTTTTGATCCAACCGATAAATTGAGCTTTCCATGCTCGTTCAGTCAACTGTATTGACAGTGAGTTTGAGAGTGCCTGACTTGCAGTGGCTCTGTATCGGCGACTGACAGCATAAACGTTCATATTTGATCAGACTTACGCACACTGCCACGACACGTTTTTTTTTATATTATTTTTAATATTATATACGTGGTCTGGGCAACGCTAGTATCTCGTTTTATCGTACGATAGCGCGATATACAATGATTTAATCATGTCATAACACAATTTTGACGCAAATCTGCTTTTTCTAGCAAATCACAAAAATATACGTCAGTGACAAATTAGTTGGTGACATTTTCAAAGACATTTTGTTTGTTAAGAAGTGAGTGACATTTAGGCTAAGATTTATATAATGCAGCGGGGAAGTAAAATTATGACCAAAAGAGTTTGGGTAACTAGGTATTTTGAAAACGTACTCCATTTTTAGAGATTTCACGTCTAAGCTTTTTGTTAAAATGGATGAGTATTTCAACAGAAATAATCTAATACCGTCTGTTTATATATAATTTCACTTTGCTCGACCTTCACATTTCGCTCCTTAAATATTGAATGGCCACCATGGTGTTTAATTGCAAGCACTTCAAATGCCTATCCAGTTATAATAAAATTAAAATTAAACCACTGCAATATTATTTCGAATACAGTTTAGAATATACACAACTATAAATTAAGGCCGCATTTAGGTTCGCTTTAAACAAAAATAATCTTGCTATTTAATTTCAGAAAAATGCCTAATAACAATATGTTTTCACAAACAAAAAAAAAAAAAAAATACCAACGGAGCATTAAGTAAACCACTATTATATAATAATAAAATGAATGAATGGTATAATTGTTAAATAAAGTGACGAAATATAGGACTACCAGTCAAGTTATTTTAATAAAATCACAACTTTTTGTATGTAAAGGGCGCCATAGTGACCAGTCTCCACGGTAACCAGTCGCTGTATCACTGCTCAATGTATATATATTGTGTGTATATTTTGTAACACTGGGACAGCTATATAATGATATCGGACCTCAATTATACTTGAGCAGAAATGACGTTTTTTATCATTTTATTTTAGTGAGGGCTCTGTGCCATCTAGACAGAGAGTAATATATCTCGTGTACAACAAACTATTGTTACAATATACATCGTGTATAGATTTTGATTGGTTTTAGTGCATGTATATTTTAAAGATTTCTATTCCCATTGCTGTAATTTCCCTCAACGGTTGAGGGAAATTGGCACCGGGTCACGCCTTTACTGGCTTGTCACGGATCAAGACATACAACGGTTACTTAAAAGCAAAGCTACCTTTGGGGAAAATGTGGTGAAACATTTTGATAACCTAATTTTTTAATGTTACATTATTAATCATGCTTCTAAAAATATCTTTGGCAAATATACAGCATTATTTCTCGTCGTGAGAGTGAAAGTAGATTACAATCTCAAGGGCTTTAGTCATTTCAAACAATTTATAGTTTCCTATCGTACCTGAACCAGAACACATAGAAAGCTTAACATTGGACACCTTGATATCATCCCCAACATGTTAGAAATATGTTTTCATTTTCACTATTTTTTTTCAATTTCTTAAGGGCTTAAAATAAATTAAAAAATAATTATCTACAAACTTATGCATGTTTATTTTGTGAAATATAACAAAGATGACTTCTTGGTTTTATTAACTTAGTCGCATTAATTTTATAATTACATATATCCTCAAAGTCAGTTCTTGATTCTTTCAAAATAAGTGCACCAAATTAATGTCATATTAATATACATTCTAATTATTTGTTAAGATTCGATAATTCACGAATATTTTTTATAACCGTACTAGTAATCGTTTTTTTTTTAATTAAGTGTGGTTGCTAATAAAACCGGTAAAGACCCAGTTTTTAAATATTTATTATCACGTGCAGAGGAAAACTATATAGAGATTTCTTGAACAGTTTTTTTTAATCAGAAACAAGACACTTCGCGATGAGCGTCTTTTGCGGTCAATAATATTTACGAACATTTTTGTTCACTATTGGCGATCCGTTCTGCTAGGATTGCCCTTAAAATCAATTTTGTGTTTCTGAGTGTGTGGTTTCCGGTGTTTTCACGTATTAATTCTTCTGTGATTGTTTTGGCTTGGCCTATTTCCCTCAAACTTGACAGGCATGTTCACATCATCACCCTAGTTATTAGTAAAATCTGAAGAAAATATTGGCCTATCGTTGCCATAGTACAGCCAAAAACTGGATAGCT